TGGGTTACACTGAGGAGAGCTTAAGAGTCTGGAATTCACTTAGGAAACAATGTGGGGTCAGTCACCCTTTAAGCCAAGGACCAACAGGACCAAAGTTCCACCTGAAGAGATTCCCTCACAGTGGTATCTAAGATGAGCTAGAGGAGACAGGGTAGGGATGGGGAGTTTGCCTACGTATTTCTCCAAATCCACAATAATCCTTGTTCTTTCTGGTCACCCAGCTCTTCGGTTGTACCATTTTAGCAACAGGAGCTCCAGCACTTGAGGTTTGGGGTCTAAGGGGACCACTCCCCCAAACCCATTCCCTGTGTTCCACTTCATACAGCAAGTTTCTGTCCTGAATCCTTTGGTAACTTCCTGTCCTCGTTCCCAGCTCTATTCCCTGGTTCCTTAAAAAAAAAAAAAAAAGGAGAGGGGCTCTGTTTGAGTCTTTCTGATTCCTGTACCAGGCACCATCTGCTCATGAGCACTACCACCTAAGGAATTCAGAATACCCTGGCTACTAAGGTCTACCTGGATTTCCCTCTCTCACTTACCTGGATGCTCTCCTATTTTACCCTGTCGGGCAGAACACAACCCATTGCTCTATTTGCCTGGCCTGAGATTTGGAAAGTTGTCATCTTGGTTACTCTGGGGTTCCTGACAGCCTCTGGCATCCTGAACCTTCGCTGTCAGCCTCACCAGCTAGGTCAGGCTCTCCTGTGGGCAGATTTACTACCAGAACCTCACCTCTCCCTACCTTCTCTAGCATTCTCTAGCTTTCTATAGCTGGTACAGCTAATACCTAAATATAACCAAGAGGCTACCTGCAATAATAGAGTGATAAGGACCAGATAATGGGGATTGAGAAGAAAGGCTAATGTTAGAGATCCTGTACCAGAAGAAAACACATGAAAGGTTTTAGGAACTAATGGAATGTAGAAGATGGTAAGAGGCAAGGAAGAGTCAAAGGACTCTATGGTTCCAAGTCTGGATGCCAAATAAAGCCATGTCTGCAACAGCATGGATAGCTGGGACTGGCAAGGGATCTGTTTTGCTTTGGAATGGATTTTGTACATAGTACTTTTCCACTCCCTCTTCCCTCACTCTGTGCTCATTCATAGCATTTACCTCTCTAGAATGAAAGCTCCAGGAGGGCAGGAACCTTGCTCGCTCACTCACTCCAGAATACCGGACGCCAGAACAATACTTGCATGCATCACGTTTTCAGTGCAGATATATGTAGACCTTAGGAATGGATTTTGAGTTAACATGCACTCCTTAGGCATTGCTACTCATCAAGTGGTTGGGTAGAAGTGCCTAGGTCTTGGGTGGAGACTTGGCTTGAGAGCTGTGGGTACTGAGAAGAGATGGCATGATGAGAAAGAGCACAGTCAAAGAAAGGGAAGGGGGAAAGAGGAGGCAAAAGGCAGCAAGAAAAGTCAAAGACAACCAAGATAATGACATCTTTTGTAAATCAAGGAAAGACTAACCAGCGATGGCAAATGCTGCAGAGGTTGGGATGGATGAAAATGAGAGAGTAACTCTGAATTTCCCGATTGGGAGGCTTGGAGTGTCATCAGTGGAGTGCTGGATGCAGGCAGAGATGGCAGAGGGAGAGGAATGTTAGTGTGGAGAGGATGTGGAAGCAGTGACATAGGCTGGATTTTCAAGATGTTTGGTCTTGATGGCAACAGACTGCAGAAGTTGGAGGAACAAGTGTTAATTTAGACAGGGGATTTGTTTGTATTCTTATCTTTGGGGAGATGGAAATATATTTAAGGATCTAGAGGGAGGAACCTCAGCCACTACACACATGGCACCCCCACCCCCCAAAAAAGAAAGAAAAAAACCAGGAAGAAATAATTATGTAGGAAAAGAAGTGTAAATAACATTTTGAGTTCTAAAGACACAGAAGGGATGTAACTGAGAGCAAAGGTGGGACCAGAGAAGGGCCCTCGAGCTCAGGAGATGGAGAGTGAAGAAAAGAGGCACTGGGGGAAAGTAAATGGAAAGAAGACTGCTCTCCTGTCCTAGAATCCAAAGTCTGTGGACCAGCCTACACAGAATTGAAGAGACAGGTAACTTCCCACTTTAAAACAAGGCCAGAGAACTTGAAGTTGGGGCCTAGGCCCAGCCTGACTTATAGGACAAGATGGCCTTCCAAAATATAGTTGGCTCAAGGACTACCAAAGCAAGCAGAGGACAAGACACTTCTCTCTCTTTTTTTTTTTTTATATTTTTATCTTTAAGTAATCTCTACACCCAATGTGGGGCTTGAATTCATATCCTGAGATCAAGACTCACATGCTCCACCAACTAGGATCCTTCTTAATTACCACCACCACGGTAAACATATGAGTACAATGGCATTGATTACGATGGCATTAGTAAATCAGTGTTGCATCCTCTCTGTTACCAATTAAAAATTCCTACAACAGAAACCCAGACTAGGAAAAGCAGCATTAATCACTAGGTAGTGGAACGCAGTAGATTCATAGCCATGTGACTATAACGCCAGGAGTTTAGGGGAAGGAAAAACAAAGATTTACTTTTCTTGGAAGAAATGCATCTTCTTTCAGATCCCAACATATTGTGGGATGTGCCTAAGGTGTACTTTATAGTATGCCAGACAGCACATGGCCTTGGTCACATCCAAACAACTAGAGTTCACTGTTTGAGACAATTTATTAAAGAAGAAAATACCTTTCTCTTGGTTATTTCCAAATGCATCAGTTTTCCCCTAGACGTGACATCTTTCCTCAATGTGAATAAAACATCTGTTACAGCATTTTGTGCCTCCCTTTATTTTAGGCTTTACTGATACACTTCATAAAGCTCAGCAGAAATTTAAGCCTTAAAATAAGCATATATATAAGGTAACAACAAAGTATTTTATAATGGGACACTTGATAACATCTTATGAAATTCAATTAAGACATTAAGATGGGTTTAGAAAGAAATGACACAAATGTAGCAGATAAATTCACAAAGAATTGTTAACATATCTCCTTGGCTTGTCTTTATTCTGTTACGTCACAATTTTGATGCAAAGAAAACAGACATCTAATAACTTTTTCAGGTTGTTAATGTGGTTTGGTAGTCTTTAGGAACTAGGGATATAGCACCCACAAATAACTCCTTGGAGCTAAACTTATATAAAATCCTGTGCGAATCTGAAAAGAAAACAGAATAGAAAGATGGCTAGGCTTTCCTCAACAAATATGGGATAACATAAAATAACACTTAATGCTGTTTAAAATGAATTTTCTTAAATATTCAGGGTTACAGCCTGAATATTAAAAAGAGATGACAAGGAAAAGTGAAGAATTTCTTTGTGGCTGTCTTTTCTACATTAGGGAGAGAGAAGTTAGCAGCCAAGATTCAAGTAAAGGGCAAGCTAGACAAATGAGGAGACTTTCATCCTCCCTTCTCAATATCTTCTTACTGGCACTGTCTAGAGCCCTACTCCCATCTTGGGTAGCCATGGCAACCCGAAGGGCCAGATTCTCTCAATGCTTAGGGAGACATGAGAGGGGGACACTTAAGAAGACCGGTGTGGTTCCATTCACAACTGAAGAATAAGGGAGAACAAGATGTCCAGCCAGGGATTAGGAGTCAAGGACTGACAACAGAATCTGGAACTGAAAGCACCTTAGAATTCAACTCATTCAACTCTGATCTGACTTGCTCAAGGTCACATGATACCTGGGTGGCAAGGACACTACCAGAACTCAGATGTCCTCACTCAGCACAGCACTCTGTCCACTGCCCACTGCTTCTAATCCAAGAAGCCAATTAGAAACTACAGAAAATGTAATAACCAAGCTATTGTTATTTCCCCTTAAGCCAAGTCTCTTTTTCCCCCCTCTCTTTTCATTATAGAAATTTTCCAATACCTCCACGTAGAGACGTGAGAATAATAAATAACCTGTACCCATCGCCAAGCTTAAGCAATTACCAACTTGTGGCCAATCTTCTTTCATCTACACTCACCCCCACCTCCAGGATTTTGAAACAAATCCCAGATATGGTATTATTATTTCTTTTTTAAACATTAAATGCTTAAAGAAGTTATATAGCTGCAAATGCATCAGAAGCAATTTGTTAGGATGCTTTGGTGTCCCTATTCCGTACCTTTGTGCTATGTGAGGTATTTTCTATTTTATTTCACAGCTCTAGAACTAAAGGCCAGCTCCTATGTCAGCACAGGCCAGTAAGATATGCTCTGTGACCCTGCACATACACTGACAATATTAACCTTGGTGCAATGAGGAATTTTGATGAAGTGGTTGTATTAGACAATAAGCATAGAGAACGTTGAACTTATATCAAGAGATAAAGGCTTTTCTACCTTAAAGGTAATATCACTGATGCCAGACACTTGTTTAAACTGGGCTTCATTCAGGCCTGAGGTTTAAAGCCAATTTCTTCCCGGAGTCCATATGAAAGGTACTAAATAATATAATTCTTAAAGTTTAACAAATCCACAAAATAATAAAAATAAATTTTCACACCAATAGTGTTATGACTCCCTTAGGACAGAAACCATTTATTTGTCTTAAAGGCATGATGGAAATTTTAAAATTTAACAATAAAATATAGCAACACTTTTCCTTCAAACAGCCATTTACATTTTGCCCACAAAACAAGTACATTCAAAAAAGACATTCAAAAAGTTTTTAAATTAAAAATAGGATTGTGCTACTGGAACTAAGTAGATAGATAATATTGTGTGTGTGGGAATGGATATTTCAGCTACAATGTTGACAAGTAACATTTTCCCTTCTAATTTTCTATTTCACCTTCCTTCACCTTCCCCTCCCTCCACACTAGTTTTCCATATGAATTTACAAGTATATAGTTAAAAATAAGAATATATTAGAAAGTCAGTGAGTGGAAAAGGACGCAAATGTCAAATATGGACTTTTTTCTGGGGAAAAAAAAAGCCCTACAAGACACAATTTTTATCTTTTAAAAATTTAACAACTTATCGTCTAGCAAAGTTATGATATTCATACCTGCTGAGGTTTCTCTAAATTTGTCACTGGTCTTCTTTTTCCTCCATTTCCAAGGCTTAAAGATTTTACCGATGGTGGAGAGTTTCCCCTTTCTCTTGAAGGGAGGTGTTTGGGAGCCTGCTGTTGGGCCATCTGAATTTGCTACAGATGCTTTGTCCAGTCCATCAACTGTATAAAGAAAAATAAAGTCAGAGAAAAGCTGTAATAAAAAGTTTGAGACAACATCGTCTGGTTCTTCCTGCACTTTAATAGCAAGTATGACCACTTTAATTGGAATCTCATGTAAAGTTTATTTTGTCCCACTCCCCAGCTGGTAGAACTCCCCTAATATCAATCAGTAAATCAATCAATCAGAAATTACAGTCCCCTTAGATAATCATTTTGGGAAAATAGAAAAGAAGCAAGAGACTTACATAATAGGTAGGGCCAGACAAATAAGGGTCTGTGAAACACAGCTGAATCCATCTGCAGCAACTACATCACTAGTTTGTGGAGGAACAGAGTATTCTAAGTATTCCTGAAATAGGATGTTCCTCCAGAGGCAAGTATAGCATTCTCAGTAATGAATGTTACAGTTATGGTGTAGTTAAAACCATTGTTTCTCCTTTGCAAAATAAAATGTAGTGCCAAGAAGCTAAATTCTAATTTTTACAATACTAAAACTATCTTTTGCTTCTATTTAAAAAGAAAGTTTTCAGCTTCCCAATAAACTGATAATTTTCGCTAATAATAAGAAATGTGTGGAAAATGTGGGTATTGTGTGTGATAGAACATATCTTTAGTGCCTTAATCAACTTATTAATCAGAGAAAGGCCCAAAACCTTAAGTTGCCTTGCATTATGTTCAAAACAGAAGGTAGACAATGATGACTTATGTTATTCCTACTATTAAATGGTAATGGCAAAAAACTGGAAGCAGCCCAGAATGGATAAACCATGGTATTGTTCATGCAATGAAATAACACTCAGCAATAATGATACTCTCCCCAATACATACAACAACATGAATGCCTCTAAAAAACACTGTGCTGAAAAAAAGCCAGGCACAACGGAATACATACGTGTGGTTCTATTTATATGAAGGTCTAAAGGAGCCAAAATGAATTTATGATAATAGCAAAAAAAGAAAGAAAATCAGAACAGTAGGGACTTCTTGGAATGAGATGGAAGTAAACATTAGTTGAGAAGGGGCTTGAAGGGAACTTACTAGGGTGACTGAAATTATCTCAATAAGGGATAGATCATACACAACTCATCAAATGGTATTTATGATATCATGTATTTTACTTCATGTAAAATTTACCTTTAAAAAAACCATAAATAAATAGTGATTTTGCATGCAATTAATGATATGCATGCTGATGTGTTTAGGGGTGAAGTGTACTGATGTCCAACAAAAATAATTAATGGACAGACAGATGGAATGGGCAGATGGATAAATACAATAAAGTAAATAAAACTTATACTCAAAAAAAATATAGCAAAAAGTTAAGTGTTAAATCTCAGGGTGGATATGTGGTGATTAACTGTGTAATTCTTCCGTCTTCAAAACTTTCATAAGAAAATACTGGGAAAAACAAAACAAAAGAAAAACTGAATGGCAAGGACTTTTGCTTGCAGGAAAATGGAGCAGACTTATTTTCCTATTCCTCCTGCTAAATAGAACTTAAAAACCCTGGATGTTAAATATAAGCGAAGCATAAGAAGACTCAGCAAAGTGAAAAGAAAGTAGACCACCCTGAGACTTCAGGACCCAAGAAACAACATGAAGGTGAGATTCCTGGGTTTTCTTTTTGTCTCCTTTATACCAGACTTGTAGCTGAAGTGGTCACCAACCTGGAGACACCATGAGGCATAGACCAAAATAGCCTCAACAAAAGCCTGTTCTCCAGCCAAAAGAGCAAGAAAGGGACAGCCTAGCAAGATGAAAAACCTTTAGACAATAACTGCTCTACTCCAGCCAAATACCACAAGAGAAACTACCACCATGAATGCCAGCAAAGGCTGAGTGGGGTAGACTAGATGTCTACCCTCATGAAGTTGTAACAAGAAGCCCCAACTTCCCTGTCAGAGAATTCAAGGAAGAGCAAGGAGGGAGTTGGGACCTTCATGCCCACCAGCTGGTAATGAATCATCCTCTACAGTGTCAGTAGAGACCACATGGGAGCCTGGCTGTCCACCCCTACCCAGCAGTAATGAGGGTTCTCTCCTCCTCCATCCCCATAAATATTGGGGTGGTATCAAACCAATGCCCAGTGGGAACAAGACCACCCCTATCCACTGTGGTATCATTGGAGACCATGCAGGGATCTGGAAATACCATTATACCCAAGAGTAATGAGGAGCATTCCCTGCCCCCATTTCCACCATAAGGTATCAACAGAGGATGAGTGGGGAACCTGGATTTTTACCTCTACCTGGCAGTAGTGAGGCAGTACCCTTCCTTCCAATGCTGGAGATGTGGCAGACATAGCCAGTTCAAAAAACAACAACAACAACAAAACAAAACAAAAAGAAGGATTCAATAAGATTTTGAGTCCTATAGCATAATATAAAAATGTCTACATCTCAATCAAAAATCACTTGACATACCAGAACTAGAAAAATCTTAAACTGAAGGAAAAAATACAATCAATATACACTAATACCTAAATCCTTATGAGCTCCTTCCAAATAAGAAGGATAAATGCCATTCTTCCCTCTAGTGATGCCTATTCTAGTTTCAGATAGAAATGCAAATCCTGCAGTGACTGTTTCTTCCATATATGGTTTCTGACCCTATTTTACCCTGCCCATATGGACAGGGTATAGGCAGAGAGAAATATAGGACAGACTGATTTTGAAGCTAAGCCAGAGTGAAAATATAAAATCCTGATTTACTTTACTTCCACTCTTCTCCAACTACCTTACTCAAACAAGGGGCAAACCTAAGGAGGCACTGAGTGTCTGGTGTTTCTTCTTTTTTGAGATTTTATGCTGAAGGGCTTAATTTTGAACAATTTAAATGTTGTGAAAGATATAAGGGCTGACTATTACACACATAGGAATGAGGGTTTCTACCTCAAATTCATCTCTGTGGCTATAGACATACATCTACTTCTTTTCTCTCAAGCCACATATCCAGTTCCTTGACACTCCATAAAAATTCTGCTTTTGATCCAAACTACTTAAGAATAATCTACTTTTTCTCCTGAAAACAAAAATAAACAAAACAAAAAGTAAGTAATTCTCTAGGTGACAGATGGGGAGACTGAGTGAGTGAAGAATTAAAGCCTTAATGTTAAATTCATAGCTGTATAAGAAATTAACTGCCATTATCTTTATTATGCATCTACAGTTCTAGTCTTTATCTCTACTCTGGAAAGGGCCTGGGCCAGTGCCAATGACCAGAGCAGTGCATACACATACATATCTTTTTTCTGACTGAATAAATTCATCTGTAATTTTGTAATTGTTGGGTTAGTAAAACAAACTACACTTCCAATTAGGAACCATATGTTGGCACAGTTGGCCACATTGCCATTGTACTTCTATTAAATCATGAATGTGTAGGGGATTTTCATCTGCTTTTGAGTAGTATGAACAGAATATAAACTCTCTTCTCTCCTCCAAACACCTAGGAGACTGCCAGTTCCATTGGTACATCTATAATTTTTCTTTTGAACAACTTACCATTAAAATCAGTTTGAAACTTAGTAACAAAATTTTTCACAGGTCTCCTGAATCTTGCATTTACATGCAGATGAGAACAAACTGCTAGGTAAATCCCAGATGAAAGTCTAAATTTCCTGTTTTAAAAGGTTAATTTTGATTGACTTTCATGTTTTGAAAAGTAACCTGTCCTTCATCAGAAGTTTCTTTTTCACACTTGAGATCAACATTTAAAAATATTTATGTATTTTACAGTTTTTATGTTTTCCAGTATAAGTCTGCCACTTTCCCCTTTAAAGGCCACAGAACTTGAGAGCAACGTTTAGGGAAGATTTGACTGTATTTCCTATACTGACTTGAGGCCTCTCTCAACTGAAAAATGCCTTCATATACATACTATCATATATAGGGGCATACATTTCTGGACACAGAACCAAGTAGGCAACAAGATCAGAATAAACTCAAGCTCTGAGCCATCGCAGATGAGACCGGATAATGGTTTCCAAGGAAGCCAAGTGGCTATCTTTGTTCTGAGTTCACTAATGGAGATCCTTACTCTCTTGCTAATCAGAGTTTACTTTGGGTTGTATCAAATCTCTTCCTTTTGGGGGGTAAGATGAATCATCACCGGACAGAAAGAGAAAAGGAACAGAAAAATCAAGGTGTGTGGCATTACATGAGAGCATGAGTTAATTCTGAAACTGCTACCCATGTACACTGGGAGAGAATAAATAAGTAAACGGACAGTTGATGTTGGAAGCCAGGTTTCTCACTGCTGGAAAGGGAGCTTATTGATAAGCAAGGGGGGGTTGCTAGAATGATCCATACGGCACTGTATTAGGGTTGGAAATGTCATAATGAACTCATGTTTGGCCAGACAGATAGACAGAAAGAGAGAGAGAGGGAGAGAGAGAGAGAGAGATAGTTAGATAGATAAGATGATAGATGATAGATAGATAGATAGATAGACAGATAGATAGATAGATAGATATGCGTGTACATACAGCTCAGTATACACACATGTATTTCCTAGTTCTGTTCATTCAGAAAGCCTAGAAGCAGCAATACCCCAAGTGAGCACACTGGCACTCAGTTCTTGGTTTCTAACAGGGCTCTTCAAAGAAAAGGAATCAGATCTCTACTGAAATGGCTGCTTCCAGGGCTAGGGCAGGGAAAATACCAGATGAGCCGGGAGCATGTTACAGTGCCATAAAGTAAGCAAGGGCTCAAAACACATACTGATGGGAGTATGTCAAAGTCACACAGGAGCCAACTGAAAGAGTCCCAATGGCCAAAGCTGGAACAACTTGAGCAACAAAATAAATAAAGTGGTATTAGATGATAATCCAAAGTATAAAATTAATATATACAATATTGATAAATATTGAATACTGATATAGACAATATCACATTGATATGAATATTGAATGGTTAATAATATAATACTAATATGGATAAATATTGAATAATTAAATAAATGTGGGAAAACAAGTTTGTACAGAAGAACTACAAATGATT